CCCTCCCTATTGCATTTCCTCTCTCGGCACTTCTCAGTTTAGTCTCCCGCTGGGCCCTGGCCCAGGCATCAGCCCCTTCCAACTCCCTTCCAGGCTTAGTTCTTCACCCTCATTTTTTTAACCACGAAGGGATGAATTAGAATGGTGACATATCTGAACCTAAAAGAAAAATTTAGGCATAGGTAGGAACAGAAGATGGGGGAAGAATAGCCAGGGCCTACCCCCTCCAATTCCTCCCCTACTTGAGGGCCAAGCTCACAATTCAGCTTCAGGGAGCATCACACACACCACCACCACCCCTCACCTCAACTCCCTCTCTGGTCCCAGCCCCCCATGACCCACTGGTCTCCAGGCAACAGCACAAAGGGAAAGTGGAGAGAAGGGCCTGGGAAGCCCAGGCACAGCTAGCTGTAACTCAATCCACCCAGTACCTGGGTGGGGGTGGGGGGCATGGCTGCCAGAGAAGGTGACTTAGTAAGGAGGGAGGAAAGGGTGGAGGTTGGGAAATGTGGCTCCAACCAGAATAGACCTGGTCAGTCCAGGAGTTACTAAAGAAAAATGAATATAATACACCTGAGAAAACCAAGAGGCACAAAGAAAAGTACAGTGTGCCCCAAGGGAAACAGAAAAGGTGCCAGGAGACACAGGAGAGAAGGGAAAGATGAGACGCCCGCACTGAAATGAAGAGGCACCAAGGAGAGGGTGCAAGTTCTTTGAACTGAAAATGGAGGTTGTCAGGGACACAGGAAGGGAAGGGCAAAGAAACGGGTTCTGCCCATGCAGAACTGGAATCTTCTTGTCCTGGAGCTAAGCAGGATGGCAGAGGGAGCCCAGGACCATAACTCAGAGTAGAATCAGAGTGGGAGGCCCACAGAGGGTACAGCCTTGAAATTCCCCCCACCCACCACCTTTAGCCAGGCTCCAGTACAGTGTCCTGCAGAACCTTGCCTCCCTCTAGTGGCCACAGCTTTCCACAGCCCTTAGTGTCCAAAGCACTGATTGGGGTGCTCTCCCTGGGTGGGTCCTGGGTTCCCATCTCAATGCTGGGGCTCCACAGGAGCTGAAGAGTTGTAGTGTGTCTCCAGCCACACTGGCACCCTGCTCACAGGCTGACCCAACTAGGGGGGAGGGGAACCTGTTGAGCACTTCAGGTCCTGAATCTTCAGTTTACTGGAGACGCCCGCATCTTTTTCCTCAGGCCCTCCACTACACTCCCTGGTACCCTTCTTCCCTCCCTGGTTCTCCACCTTGCAGGGAGTGATGGCCATGCAATGCTATTCCCAGAAACAGCCAGGATTTTGTTTCCAAGAGGCCCAGTATGAGAGCTGCTCTAGTTCACAGATTTAATCCCTTCTTTGGTCAAGGCCCTTTGGGAATTTGAACACTTTGGACACCTTTCCCCCAAAATGCACATACACACAATATTTTTGATAATTTTAGGAATTCTTACACCAGATTAAGAACCCTGATTTCACCTGGGTCCTGAGGCCAAGCTTGCTGCTGAGAAGGCAGGGGCAACATGGACCTCACCTGGGTAGGGTAGGGTAGAGTAGGCAATGTCATCATCTCGGCCATATTTGTTCTATTTGTCTTCCTCTTCTTATGCCCTCCCCAGCTCTGCAATCTGGTTTCACCAACTTCCTTCCCAGTACTCCATCTTCTCCCCCCTCATATGGACTACAGTGAGACTCCTCAGACACAAAAATGCACTGTGAATCGGACTTTAATGGTATTTCAATGTCAGAGGTGGTGGTGACTGTGGAACATGGCACTCGGGAGTGAGACACTGCTCTGGTGCAGCTAGAGGAAGAACAGGGAAAGTAGGGCTGGGAAGAGAGTTACAGGGAAGAGTCCCCAGGCGCACAGCCCCATCTCTGGCCCCAGCCAGGTTTCAGTGAAGGGTTGCTACACACGAAGGAACTGCCAGCAAGAACTTTTCTGCTCCCCTTAGCATTCCAGCAAGACTTCCCATCCCAGGCCATCTTGGAATGTACAGCCATGTGAAATACATAGTCTCCTCCAGTCAGGCTAGTTTTTGACCATGGAGTTATGGGGAAATGATTAATTAATCAACAGGATGAATGAAAAATAAATAAATAAATATAACACACTAAAACCTTAGGCCAGGCATGACCAGCAGCCAGCACCTCCCTCCACCTTAGCACCATGCAGTGCCTGGCTCATATGCAACATAGAAAAGACATGGAACCAGCACAAGTGACACATGACCCCTCCCTAAACACCTCAACAACCAACCCTGATGCTCCTGTCACAGACCCTGATCATTCTTCCATGGACACCCTATAATCCTCAGTCCTGTGGCCAGTCTTTTGAGGACAGAAAATAGGAAGGAAGGAGAAGTGAAGGATGTGGGACCGAGAGGGGGAGAGCAGAGACAGCAGGGGTGGGACAAGCCCAGGAGCAGCGCAGTAGGTCAGCTGGGGTGTCTGGGGTGAAATGTCACAGAGTAGGACAGGAAGGGATTCCAAGAGGATAGGAGGGGGTCCAGGTCTCCAGGCAAGTAGGATCACAGCACGCTGGGATTGCGGAAATTGTGTCCGGCGAAGCGAGCTTCGTCCCCCAGCTCTTCCTCAATTCTGAGAGAGATGAGCCAAAAAGGAAACATCAGAGAAGCAAGAGGATCCTGCTTCTCTTTCCAGGAGGCCCTCAGTCTCCAAGCCTCTCACACCACCTGCTCCTGTGTCCTGGCCCAAGTGTGGGTATTCCCTGGCTCTCCCATGTGACCTATGGGATCCATCCATCAGACCATCAGTCAACCCATCTTTCAAAACCAATTATTTGCTGGATATCCACTGTTCTCCAGGCTCTGGGCACTGGAGATGGAATGGTGGACAAACAGAGCTTTTAACCCTGAGCCCTAGGCTCCCATTCCCCAGGTTCCCTCACCTCATCAGCTGGTTGTACTTAGCCAGACGCTCAGAACGGCACGGGGCACCAGTCTTGATCTGAAACATCAGGAAAGATAAGCAGCTCAGTGGCTGCCCCTTCATTTCTTGAAAGAAAACTTCCACTCCCTTGAAATTCCCGACACCCTCAAAGACCTGGAAGGAGAGATCCACCTGAGCCTAGAACCCACCAATGGAACAAAGATCTCCCTTGCACTCACCTGGCCTGTGCACAGCCCCACCACCAGGTCCGCGATGAAGGTGTCCTCAGTCTCTCCTGAGCGATGACTCACCATGACCCCCCAGCCATTCTCCTGGGCCAGCTTGCACCTATATCCATACACCAGGACTGACCCCCAGCCCCTTACGCTGGGTACTCTCTTCCCAGCCCCAACATTGGTCTATGTTAAAAAACATCTGGAGGGAAGCTGTCTGGGAGGGGATCAGAGAATCAGTGATGGAGGGAGCAGAACTGAGGGCTACGAAGGTGACTCCAGGTTCCCTGCTCTCTTCAGCATCTGTGGACAGAATTAGGCTTAGAGCCCTTGCAAGACTGGTCCTGAGAAACAGGGGATGAGCAGGAGAGAACCAGGAGGCACTCACGCTTGGATGGCTTCGGTGACTGAACCGATCTGGTTGACCTTGAGCAGCAGACAGTTGCAGGCCTTTTCTTCCACTGCCCGCTCGATACGCTTTGGGTTGGTCACTGTCAGGTCATCACCCACAATCTGTATTCCTACATTGGCTGTGAACTTTGACCAGGCAGCCCAATCATCCTGGTCAAAGGGGTCCTCAATGGAGACCACTGTGGGGAAAGTGGTAAAGGGACTGTTGATCATTCCTGGAGCTCTGCACAAGACAGGAACACCCACCCACCCTTTGATTCCCTGAAATAGCCAGATCCTCTGGCTGAGCCTGCTCATCCATGCTTCCCCTGTCCTCAAATAAACCTGCCCTACCTGATTACCTTGATTCATTCATAAACCTTTCAAAACACAAGGATTCAGAATCTTTCTCACAACCTATCTGCATTTTCATATTTTCACTACCAGGAAGCCCTTTCTCATTACTAGTCAAAATCCTTCATTCTAAAATTTATAGCTAAAGCTCTTGGTAGACCTGAAGGATAATTCAGTTCCTCATCATCCATCTGTTTTATTCACACATCACTTTCAGCTCCATTCAGCATCCACAATTTTATCCATCAAAAATACTGAAGTGAGCCCTGGCCGGCTTGGCTCAGTGGTTAAAACGTCGGCCCTCAGACTGAAGGTCCCGAGTTCGATTCCAGCCAAGGGCACGTACCTCGGTTTTAGGCTCAATTCCCTGCCCTGGTTGGGGCGCATTTGGGAGGCAACCAATCAATATGTCTTTCTCACATCAATGTTCCTCTCTCTCTCTTTTCCTTCCACTCTCTCTAAAAGCAAAAGAAATAATATCCTCGGGTGAGGATTAAAAAAAAATACTGAAATGTGCTTGTTCCCTGCCAGGTCCAGTCACCTCACCATCCCTGGTCCCTCTCCATGATCCCAGTAGCTTCAGAGCACATGACTTTAATCAGGACCCGAAGCAGATGGAACAGATTCATCACAGATACCTGCACTGACACTACATACAAAGCCCAGGCTCTGCAGGAGACTTATTCGCCCCATCCCTGGTTCTCAGGTTCTTCTCCACCTGGCACCTGAGTCAGCACCCTATAAGGTCCAGAGTTGCCCCAACACATCCCTGCCTGTCCCCTGCCCTCCCCCTGCCCTCTCTCCCACACCCTGCCTTGCTCTCACCAGGATAGTCCCTGACAAAATCCTGGTAGAGGGACCCCAGCTGGTCCCCAGTGATGTATCGGGAAGGGTCAGCAGGAGACTTGAAGTCCAAGTCATATTTGCCATCACGATAAAACTCTGAGGCAGCAACATCCATGCCAATGACAATCTTTTCCGTGTAGCCAGCCTTGTCAATGGCTTCCTTCACCAGCTCCAAGGCTGGGGATGAAACACAGTGAGACTGTTAGCAGGAAGGCAGGCAAGGAGGAATGAGGGAAAGGAAGAACTTAAGGGCAGTGATAGAGGACTTGCTAAGGTTCTTGTTAGAGTTATCCCCAGGTCTAGGAAGAGCAGGCATCTTCTAGGAAGGCAGAGGAATGGACTTCTGTTAATAACAGTGTTTTTTTAATAGCTGTCATTTATTGAGGGCTAACTATGTCACCTAAGCACTTCACATATTTGATCTCATTTAATCCTCACAGGGATGGCTATGAAGTAGATACCGTTATTAGTGTTCCCATGTTACAGATAAGAAAGATGAAGCACGAACAAAATAATTAAGACCACCAGCAAGTCTTCAAGTCAAGGTTCAAATGCAGGTAGTCTGGCTTCAGAACTTTAACTCTTAGCCACTATAGGTATTATTTCTGTTTACTATACCGTTTCTCCCAGGGCAGAGAAAAGTTAGGGATCCTCAAGGCCTAAGAAGTTGGGATGAGAATGGGATAGATTTGGAATAGATTACCTGGAGTTTGGTGTATCTCATCAATCTGAGAACCCTATGGAGTTAAAGGCTAGGGTGGATCCCACAGGTGACCTAGACCTCCTTCCAGCACTCCCAGGTGCTCCACTGAGAACTTATAGTTGCTAACAAACCTGACTGGGCAGGTGAGGACTGTTCTCCTAGGCCTGCATGTGAATTTGGCAGGCCCTCTGGAGCCCACTCCAAGAACTGGCACCCCTTAGAGCTAGCAGGAATCAAGGACCATCCACCCATACTCCTTAGGACTTGGTGAAGTATGTGGCCTTTCCCAGTGGCACAGGGTGAAGTCAGAGCTGGGAGTGGGTCTCCTGGTCTCACCTTCACTGTTCTCCAGGATATTGGGGGCAAAGCCACCTTCATCTCCCACATTGGTGGCATCCTTGCCATACTTGTCCTTGATGACCCCCTTGAGCGTGTGGTAGACCTCCGCCCCAAGTCGCATGGCATCACGGAAGCTCTCGGCACCCACTGGAAGGATCATAAACTCCTGCATGGCCAGCTTGTTCCCAGCATGAGAGCCACCATTGATCACATTGAAGGCCTGGGAACCACAGGATAGAAAAGTCACTGAGCATTTTCCTTTCCACCCCTGGGAGTGTTCACCCAAAATTCCAAACTTCCCCCAGCTTCCCAGGCTCCGAGTCTCCTGCCCCCATCCTTTCTCTTGAGCTGCCCCAATTCCCTTTCCTCCCATCAGTCTTCACAAGGTTTCATGCCCCCCCTGCCCCCACCCCTGGGAGAGGTACAAGCATGGCACGGTGCTCACCGGCACAGGCAGGATGAGGTCTGAGTTCCCAGCCAGCTGAGCAATGTGGCGATATAGGGGCAATTCCCGCTCAGCTGCCCCTGCCTTACACACGGCCAGGGACACACCCAGGATGGCATTGGCCCCAAACTTGGCTAAGAGATTATAGAAGAAGGCGCTAAGCAAAAATGTCCTCTTCCCCTTCTAGCCCTCGCCTCCACCTATACTCCCCAAAGGAGCCAGTAAAGGAGACCCCCTCCTCCCTCCTGTCTTACAACATCTCTCCTGAAATAGCAGGGGAGTTAGGGAGAAGGTGACAGGAAAGGGCAGAGAGCTGCACATTTTTCTAAACATCCCAAGACCAGTCTGTCTCATGCCAACTCTCTCCCCTTTATGCTGTAAAGAAGTTCTTCCTCTGTCTAATGTCACACACACACACACACACACACACCTGCCAACTGCAGTTAAACTCACTTCTGCTGCTCTGATTTTGGGGGTAATATGAAAGAAGTCCTTCCTCAGGAAGCTCCCACAGCACTGGCCCCTTCAGTTCTCTGCTCCACACATCCCTCACCCTCAGTCTCCCCACTTTCTCCCAGCCCCTGCTTACATTTGTTCTCTGTACCATCCAATTCCAACATCAGGTTGTCCAGCTTCTCCTGCTCCACCACAGAGAGACCCTGCGAGCAGAGCCACCATCACCCAGGGTCAGAATGGAGGCTGGGCCCTAAGACACAGGCCCCCTCCATACAGGCTCGCATTCAGCCAGGGTCCAACCAGGTTCCTGTGACAGTGGCCTGTCTGGGTCAGGGGATCTGAGCCCCCACAGGCGCAGAGGGCAGTAAGGGGGCATCTTCCCGCCCTTCCCTTGGTAACAGTGATTCCCAAGGGGTGGGCCGTTCTCCCTCTTCTTCCTCCTCCCCGACCCAGGGTTCCTTCCAGGGCCCCGGTCCTGCCACCCCAAGCAAAGAGCGAGCCTCACTGAGCTGACGAGGGCTGGCGCAATGGTCGCATTGATGTGATCCACCGCCTTCAGGACACCTGGGGAAGCACAGGGGCCAGGCTGGGTCAGGCCAGAGGGAAAGGGGCGGGGGTGCGAGAGGAGGCCTGGGAATGGTGTGAGGCAGGCCAATGGAGCTGAGGGGTGGGAGAGCCGGGTGAGGGGGGAGAAGACTTCACCTTTGCCTAAGTAACGCTGTTTGTCCCCATCCCTTAGCTCCAGGGCCTCATAGATCCCCGTGGAGGCCCCACTGGGCACCGCGGCCCTGAAAAGACCTGGAGAGGAACATGGAGTGAGGAGCGGGGAAGAAAAACACTGCAGGGGCCAGGGGTCCTTTCAGCCCTCTAGCTCTAAGGTCCTGCCTGCCACACCCAGCCCTCTCCCCACGCTGCTCCCTAACATACAGACATACAGACACACACACACACTGCTCCCCAATACACACACACACACACACACACACGCACGCACACAGAGACACACACACTGCTCCCTAATACACACACACAGACAGACATACACACTGCTCCCCAATACACACACACACACACACACTGCTCACCAATACACACACACACAGAGACACACACACTGCTCCCTAATACACACACACACACAGAGACACACACACTGTTCCCTAACACACACAGGCACACACACTGTTCCCTAACACACACACAGACACACATACTGTTCCCTAACACACACAGTTTCCTAACACACACACACAGACACACACACTGCTCCCCAATACACACACAGACACACACACTGCTCCCCAATACACACACACACTGCTCCCTAATACACACACACTGCTTCCTAACACACACACATGCGCACACATGCACACACAAAAGCAGATGCACAAGCAAGGGCCGCCTCACCCACCCAGCTGAGGTCCCACATGCACCAGCAGGAACCCAGAGAAATGAAGTTATGCATCCATATGCACACACACAGGTGCACACACAAACATGCGGAGGCAGGGCATGTGTCATGGACTAAACTAGAACACCGAGGTCAGCCTATCCTGGCTCCCCTGGACAACAGGATCCAATCCCCACAATCCAGGCTATGAGCCTGGCCCATCACCCCATCCCTGCTGGAAATCGGGAGGGATGGGAGTGGAGGTTGCCGTAGGGGACCGTGTTCCGGTCCAGGCTAGCTCAGTACCTCTGGCAGTGTAGAGATCCACCTCCACCGTGGGGTTTCCACGGGAGTCCAAGATCTCCCGGGCCCAGATCTTCTCTATCGACATGATGGCTGGGATCTCCTTGGGTGGAAGGGAAGTAAGGAGAAAGGTAATAGGCTTAGAGGGGTGGAGCCTGAGATCAGTGGGAGGGGCCAGAGGCTAGGAAGGCAGGGAAAGAGGTTACTGCAGTGGGTGGGGGTGGGGAGGAGCGGGCCACCGCCGGCGGTGAACGGGATTCCCCACCCCTTCCGTGGGGAAAGGAGAAGGTCAATGCGGGGAGGAAGGGGAGGTCACTGCAACAGGGGGCGGGGAAGGACCCAACATTGAGGTGGGAGGACACCTCAGTGAAGAGTGGAGGGGCCCGGCAGTGGTTCCCTGGTCCCTTCAGCAGCTTCGGCAGCAGGGTGGTGGGGTTCCCCCAGACTTCCTCAAAGAGGAATGGCCGCCAGGCTTGCCCTTCTCCTTGGAGCCAAGAAGAGGGTGGGTAGTCTGCACAGCTGAAGCCCTTCATCCACAGCCCTCATCCCACCCAACTTAACACCCCACCCCCACGCCAAGATCCCAATCTCTCTCCCAAATGTGTGTCCCTCCTCTTCCCCACAGGTGTACAGTAGAGAAGTCTGGGAGAGGGTCCTGGGAAAGGCCTCCAGTCTCTGGGGGTTGCAGCGGGGAGTGAGGAGGAGGGAAGACCAGGGGAGAGAGGCAGGGCTGGGCCCGTGCTCCAGCTGCCCCTAGACAAATTCTGCCCTCCCAACCCCGGTGCAGCAGAGAGGGGCGAAGTGGGGGAGGAGTGGGAGAGAAGGAGCTAGGGAAGTGCGGGGATGCTGCGGAAGGGTGAGAGAAGACACCTCCCCAGACGCAAAGCCAAGAGGACGTGCCAGGATAAAAATGCGCAGCCGGGGGGAGACCCCGAACTTAGTGTCCACAGAACCCGAGGCGAAGCGGGGCAGGCCAGTGTGGAGAAGGGATGGTGACCAAATGAGGAGGGGGCGACAGCCAGAAACCGAGAGGAGCGGTCCGGGAAGGCAGGGAAGGAGGGTGCCGGGGAGGCGCTGGTGACGGAGCAGGTGCGCAGCGCCCGCGGGAGAGATGCGCGCGGCCAG